TTTTTTTTTTCTACATTCTATTCTTTTCCTGGCGTATAGGTCTTTGTGGCCTTTTTAAAATTGCTGTTTTGTTTTATCATGTTTTTCAGAGTTGTAAATGCCATACACTTTACCTGGTTCTTTGCATCCGAACAACAAGGGAGCCATAGCATGGTAAGGAAGTGTTTCTGTTAATCTGCTAATTTAGAAATCAGTACTCGCAATTTTTTTGTCGTAATTCTTTTTCTTTTTTGAAACAGATTAAAAGTTTATGAACTTTTATTCTGTCAACTTTTAATTTTGTTGTGGGACTTCTATTTTAATGGTTTTTGAGGAACGAAAAAGGTCTTTTGGCTTACGGTTCTCATTACACCTTGGTTATTGTCGATGTGATGAGGAGAAGGATTATCCAAACTTTGGAAAATCATACTGCAGCGATAAATTATGTAAATTTAAAAAGTTTTTGCCTTGACGTTTGTGTTTTTTTATTTGCTTTTTCCTTACCAAACAAAATGCATATTATTTGATTTGTCAATTTAAAGTAACAGTGGATTTCGGGATGAAGTAAAAAAATTGTTTTATATATTAAGTAATTTTATTTATTATTTTATTATTTTCAAGTCTAAAATTAGTTTTTACACTTCTGATTCTATTAATTATCATGTGAGTACTTCTTCTTGTAGCTAAACACTTTGTTAATTATTCTTAATTTTTTTTTTTGGTACGGCTCCTGGTTCGCGTAGCTTCTCGCTTTCTGATTTCTTGTTTGCTGGCGATGCGTTAACATTTATTCAATAATCTAGCTCCTTTAGGTTTCGTGGGCTCCAGAAGAAGATTTTGGGACATCATTGGAAGGTTTGGAAAGATGCGCTTCTGCGGACGTTAGTGGTCAAATCATTGTTTGGAATGTTTTTGAAGGAACAGATATTTCTTGCTTTCGACACGAAAATTCCTCTCTTAGAAGTAAGTTGAATATATATATGGAAAGCAATTTGCGCTTCTTAATGCATATATACTTCAGCTATTTCATGGTTCCCATGGGAAGACACAAAGCGAGATTTTTTGCTAGCTTTGCATTCTCCTGGGACTTTGATCTTATGGAACACTTCAACTGGCGATAAAGTTTGGAGTATTTCATACGATAGTCAACTCGATGTTTTCGCATTAGATCCGTATGATTCAAGAAATTTAGCATGTAGGTTCATGTCAAAGCATTTTTTGTTCATTAGCAGTTAAGATAAAATCAAGAAGTAATTAGAGTTTTATACCACTTGACTTACAGTTCTGCTTTGCAAAAAATAAAGTTCCAATAGTGAATTATTCTTTGCTTATCAGTGTTTCTGGATAAATTCTTTTTTCCGCCAAAATCTCAATTGATGCTATATTTGTAGTTGGTGTAGTGGATGGTTCTATTCTTCTCATAGATGAAGTTTATCTGCATAAGGCTCCATCTTCAAAAGCGTGCAGGCTTACTGTATTTCCCAGCGGCTCTAACGTTTGTCATTTACAGTACCACAATGCTTTTCAAGATATACTCTTTGCAGCTTCTTTAACAGAGGTTAGTACCTTATTCTAAAATGATTGAAGATGATCTGGTCTTCATTTAAGCTCCAATTGCGTTTATATAATATGTGTATGTAGATGTGCCTTCATTCTAGTTTCTGATCATGTGATGAAAAAAGTTTTCAGCTTGTTTGCATGGAAACAGTTTGCCGGTGTGTTTTGTGGAGGTATACGTTAGAAGCACCACTTCTTAATATCCTTTGTTGTGCTGAGCGTGATGCTATATTTACTGTGCATACGAGTGGTAATTTTTCTTACAGTAAACTCATTTTTTTGCCTTGTTTCTCTTTTTTTTGGAGCAATCTTTTCAAATTTTTTCAGGATTGGTAGTGTTGAGGAACTGTTCAATTGTGCCTGGTGGAGACAGATGGATGTCCTGTTTTACCTATGAAAAAATAATGACTGCAGAGACTCAAAGGCAGTCGTTGCATCATCGTCTTTTTGCAGTGGCTTTTTGTCCTGTAACTCAAACTTCGATGGCTTTTCTTTATAATTCTGGTCGAATTGCTTTTTATCAGATGGTAGTGTCATCTTTACATGCAAACTTGATTCTTACTGAAATTTTGTAATATAATAAGATCAAAGGTTATAACTAACTCTTGTTTTGTAGTTCCTTTTCCTCCTTAGTTGAAGTGGAAGAAATTGTAAGAATATATCATTGAAGTAAATGTAGGCAAAATATCCAGGTAAATAACAGTTTGCTTAAAACTCGTTTTTTCTGATGCCATGTGATTGAATTTTAATTTTTAGGCATTTGAGGACAGCGCCAGTTTGAAATGTTATAGGGCGCAGTTTATTACAGATTTTATAGGTGTTAACGAGAAGCTTCAAAATTCGGCTCTTGGTGCTTTGAGGTTGTTCATTTTTGTTTATGTTCTCTTTACTTAGTTTTACGGCTGCTTGCTATCGACTGATTAATTTCAGACTATCTAATATTGGTGAGATGTTTTCTCTCGGGCAAGGCGCTTCGACAGTTTGCATGCGTCCTATTGATGCTTTGGAGGGCGAAAATGAGCCTCATTTGGCAGCTATCGGGAATAATCATGGAGTCATACATCTAGTGGATGTCTTAAATTCTATAGTTTATAAGGAGTTACACGTGCATGGATGCCCAATAAAGTTTGTTTGCTCACCTGTAAATAGTTTATAGTAGCTATAGATTCTGA